TGAAGAAGGCTGGAGCATACAATGGCTGAAGTGGCAGGAATATGATAATAAAGATGAGGACAATAGTCCAAAAAATGTAAATACTGCAAATAGTTACAATACTTCACCTCATATATATATATATATATATATATATATATATATATATATATAAATGTAAATCTATTTAAACTTGGTGGTTGAAAAAACATGGATAGCACAAATTGGTATCCAATAAAAAAATGGGGAAAAAAATTATATATATATATATATATATATATATATATATATATATATATATTACACATTACTACCAGTGTGTAGAATTGGGTTTTATGATTTGATATGGTTATCAGTTACAATGAAATTATATTATCACAAAGTAAAATAGACATATTGCCTGTGACTCTGTCTTCTATGAGTGGCAAAATCAAAACTAATATGTATGTTTTCTCTTCACATCTGTTGTAGGCTGATTTCTATAGAAGACATTTTTGAAGCCCATTTTGAGACAATGATTATAACTGACCAGTGAGGATGGACATAAAGATATTCTGGTGTAGGTTTTCAAAGATAAACATTGACTGAGTCCAGTGAAATTATTCAAAGGATGAAGATGATAGTATAAGCGGGGGGAAAAAGAGAAAATTATAATCTGCATAATCATACTGAAATGATCATCAAAATTCTCTTACTTCAATAAAGCAAATATTTTTATTTTGTCTGTAAATTTGAAAAAAAATTGTTAGGACAATTGAATTCTTTATTTGTTTTCTTGATGTTCTAACCACAAAGTTTTGGCTGATCTATTTTTTATCATTTGTCAGCAATGTTAGATAAATGGACAAAATCATACTGCCACCCACATTCCAAAGTGATTCTCATCTATACATGAGTAGGAATACTAAAAAAAAAGCATCTTTGCCAAGCAAAGAAATCTACAGAGTTCTAAAATCAATAATTGCCTGATCTATGTACCTAACCAACAAGCAAGTATATGCTGCTTCTTTCAAGTTTCTCACTCTTCAGCAGCACTTCTTGTCAATTATTTGGGCCTCCTCCCAAAGAGGGCAATGAGCACTCATCTCTCTTCTTTTTCTATGTGCTGTGTCTCTTGAGGACATTGGTGATCATGGCTCTCTACAATTTCCTCTCCTTTGTATCAGATATAGTCTGTCATACAAAGTTTTCTATTGCTTTCTTGTCTTCTTTGAGTTTGACTTTAAAGGGATATTTACTCTTTCCCCTCATATACTTTTCTAATATTTGGGTGTTATAATATTTAGGTGTTGACAAACATTGTCTATCAACAAAATAAACAAACACATAAAAATATGAAACAAATGATTCTAGTACAATAGGGAAAATAAGTATTTCATCTCCTACTGATTTTCTGAATTTGCCACGTTACAAAAATAAGAACGGTCTATAATTTTCAGGGTATGTCCGTCTTGAAAGTGAGAGATAGAATATTAAAAAATTCTAGAAATTCACATTATATTAATTTTTGAACATTTATTTCTTTTTATTGAAAAAATAAATATTTCACCCCCTACCAACCAGCAGTGATTCAGGCGAGACCAGTTATGTGACCATAAGGCATATAGACTAGTCCTATTACTCAATTATTACTCCTAATCAAGTACTCATTACCTGTATAAAAGATACTAGTTCACAGAAACCTTCAATGAATCAGAATCTAATCTCCCCACAATAGGTAAGACAAAAATATTGTCTAAGGACATCTGGGACAAAATTGTATACCTGCACAAAACTGGAATGGGCTACAAGACAATTGACAAGCAGCCAGGTGAGAAGGAATCAACTGTTAGTGTGATAATGAGAAAATGGAAGAAACACCAATTGACTATCAATCTCCCTTGGCCTGGAGCTCCACACAAGATCTCCCAATGTGGAGTGAACCAGATGATGAGAAAGATAAGGAAACAACCCAGAACTACATGGTAAGAGCTTGTTGATGATCTCAAGGCAGCTGGGACCACAGTCACCATGATGAACATTAGTAACACACTATGTTGTAGTGGACTGAAATCATTTAGTGCTCACAAGCTCCCCCTACTCAAGAAGGTATATGTACATGCCTGTCATAAGTTTGCAAATGAGCATCTGGATGATTCAGAGGATGGTCTGTGGTCAGATGAGACTAAAATTGAGCTTTTTGGCATCAATTTGACTTGCCATGTTTGGAGGTAAAAAAAGCTGACTTTGACCCCATGAATACCATCCCAACCATTAAGCATGGTGGTGGAAACATTATGCATTGGGGCTGTTTCTCTGCTAAAGAGGAGGGTTAACTACACCAGGTTGATGGAAAGATGGATAGGGCCAACTACAGGAAAATCTCGAGGGAAAACCTCCTTGCTTCAGCCAGGACACCTAAGATGCATCGGAGATGGGTGTTCCAGCATGACATTGACCCAAAGCATATAGCTAAGTCAACAAAGAGAATCTGTGGAGGGAGCTGAAGCTTTGAGTTGCCCAACGACAACCTACAAACCTTAAGGATTTGGAGAGGATCTATAAAGATGAGTGGACCCCCGGGAACTGTAAAAACTTGGTAACCAACTACAGGAAATGTCTGGCTGCTGTGATTGCCAACAAGGGTTTTTTCACCAAATACTGAGTTATGTTTTGCTATGGGGTGAAATACTTATTTTTTCAATAAAAAAGTCATAAATGTTCAAAAATTAATATAATGTGATTTTCTAGAATTTTTCCCATCATGTAAACATTAAATTTGTCAAGTAGGGATTTCAACAGATTTGGAAGTATTTAATCCAGAACCCCCCCCCCCCAAAAAAAAACAGGGCCTTTAGTATTTGTTACTTTTGCTTCTAGGTTAATCCAGCACCGATCATCCAGCATTGGTCATTATCACTTTTTTTGCAATATTATTTAGGATCTGAAATTTTCTGCTTTTCAATACTTCTTCTGCAATAATACCTAAAAGATTTCATAACATGACAAAAATTGATTTTTTTAATATCTTCTCTCTTGATACAGGTCATAAATCAACACGTTTTCAAGTTGTACTTCTCAGATCTTTGTCATGGTTTTCCAGGATAAATAACGAACATTTTCACCATTTTGTTGGTATCTGCAGATCTTTTTTTCCCTTTTTAGCATTGTTTTATTTTTATCTGCAAGTTTGTAAAACAACACAGCTATACAATACCTTTTAAACTTCAGTCTCACTATATAAATATTGATATGAGATTTGAAATATCAGTATGTTTCATACAAAATTAGCTGCCATTTGCTTACTATTGTATAGAATTAACCAGCTTTTATTGTAACTGCATTTCTCTTTATCCATCAATTCTACTTTACAATTCTACCTTACAATTTTTTCTGCCTAGCATGCTGATGCTGAAACTCAGAAGATCAACACACCTTCTTGACCTCATGTTTCTCACTAGCATGAAGGAAACTGACTATATGAAGTCAATTGCTATGTCTGCTGTGAGGAAGTATGGTTCATTGTGTTGTGCCAAAAACATGTTCTTGTCAGAATCCATCTTGCTCATTTATAAATCTACTATTCATCCATGTATTGACTGTTGTCATATTGGGTCTGTTACTCCTACTAGACATCTGAAGATTCTTGACAAAGAAGAATGCTTTGCAATACAATCAATCCTAACCATCTCATCTTCAGTTACTTTCTTAACGACATGATGTGGCATCACCTTGTCTTTTCTACAAATAGATTAATGGCAACTGCTTGGAGAGAAATAATTAAAATAAAATCCATTTTAAGGTTTCAAACTTGCAATATGGCTATTAATTTGAAATCTTGAAATTAAGAATATTTCATACAAAAATAGCTGGTATCTACACAAATAGACATTGTGGACACTCAGTAAACAAAACTTTAGATTTCAATAAGTATCTATTTTACATATCAATAAAGCATAAGATGACTAATAATGTGAGGCATTGATGATCTAATTAATCCAACAGTACCTGTACATCTTGGTGGACTTAGAAAATAATTCTGTATATTCAATCCAAATTGAAGTCTTCAAAAGTGTGTAACCTCTTGAGGAACTAATTGAATTCCTTATCATCTCTACATCAGCAGAGAGTAACCTGAAGGATCATCTTCAAAGATTTCTTGTTAATATTCAAAATCATAGGGTAAAATGGAGAAACCTTAACTAGGTCTTCTACTTGATTATGTATATCAAGATCAAACTGAAAATATGTTGTTCTTAAACAAGGCATTAACATCTGTATAGAGACGATAGTATGCATCTTAAGACTAAGTCTTTATTTGTTTTTTTTATTTATATACTAGAGTACTCATGCTGTCAGAAATGACAGAAATTGTTAGAAAGTTTTAATAGTCAGATGCAATGAAATGAAAGTCTTCAAACCATGTATTTAGATGCAATATATTAGAGATAAAGGATTCACAACTAGAGACCAATGAAACAATTAATTTGTTCCCTTTATATGTTTTTGAGGTTTAATGTTATCTATGATTCATTGAGTATTCCTGGTATAATATAAATCAATTTTTGCTCAATATCTTTTCTTGTTAAAAATTTTATGTGTTTAATATAACAGTAAAATGAAAATATGTCTCAGAAGAAAATGATTAGGAACAGAACAACAAAGACGGTAATGACAAAGCCTATTTCAAGACTAAGTTGAAGCAAGAATAAACAAAGGTATCTGAGTGTCTCACATAAAAGGCTTGAGAAAATAAGACTGCAATTTAAAAATCTAGTAATAAAGGAACTAATTATTTCAATAGTCCATTTTGCTTGAGAACTAATTTTGTCTGATTACAGATAAATATTTTATTTGTATAGATTGTTAAAATGACTACAGGAAGTAATCACTCATAAACTTACTAACTTAAGTTGATTTACCTACCTTCCCACTACAGATGGGACAGGAAATATATAAATACACATTGATAATTATTATATGGTTAGTTTTTTCTTATCAAATCTGAATGAACTTTAGTGTTCAGACTTATTGCCATATTACATTGAAACACCAATTCTCATACAATCACTGAAATTAAGCAATGTCATGTCTGGTTAGTACATAGATGGGTGACTGCTTGGGAATACCAGGTGCTGCAAGCTTGGATATGTGGGTGGTGTAATGGATAAAAGTATGAAATTGGAGAGCTGAGTTCCAATTCCAGTTGGCTACATTGTATTGCCTTATTTGGGAAAGGTATGGATCCAGCTCTTCTTTTTCCAGTTATGGATTAACTAATAGGACATGTATCAGTAAAAACATTATTATCTCTTAGAATCAAATATATTTTCTGGATTTAAATAAACTGCCAAAGGTTGATAATCCATAAAAACAATTCAATCAGTCAAAAATTTTTTTTACTATTCTCTCTACAAAATCTTTTCTAGTGATGTCCTTTAACTTATTCTGATGTTTTTTTTTTGTAAAAATGAAAACACTGAAAATTGTATTTTCCTAACTTTACAACTCAACACTTATTTCATAACAACTCAAAAGTTAGTTGTTAATAAGAAGAAAAATCTGAAAAGGTACCAGAGATTAAATTCAATGTATAAAAACCTTCATGATATCTGAATGAAAAATATTTCTTTTCTTTCGAATCATTCAACTTTAAACAGCAAATGAGTGAAAAGGAATAATATAAACTTAAGAGTGTTTCTAGATTGGCAAGTAAGTCTCACAGTTTTACTGTTGAACCTAGATGCAACCTAATGTTTTATTCTAATAGTTTCTTTTTATTTTGCTCTTCTCACCTGTGGAACTCCCTTTCAATTTCTTGCTTCACTGCCACTTACAATCTTCAAAAATTTAAATGCAACATCAATCGCTATTTTCTGCGTTCCTGAACCATGTTCTTTTTTTTGTCCTTTCTCTTCACTAAAGTTTTCTTATTCTCTTCCCCACCCCCCATTAACTCCATGCATCTTAGTGGCTTTATTGCCTTGCTTGGGGTGAAAGGATTAAAAAAACTAATTTGTATATTCATGATTTTAATGCACTAAAGAAATTATTGATTGAAAATTATGTGGACATGTGATTATGTTATTTTTGAAAATTTTCAAGTATATCTGTGCATTTATACATTTTTACTTAACCTGTTGGTCAACTTTTTTTCCTTTGTAGATGGAACATTTCCATATTGATGTTCACACACTAATGTATGCTTGAGTTTTGAATATGATGTTGATATAAAGAGAATGAGATTGACTGATAAATGTATATTTACTGTTAAGGTAGCAAAATCTTATTTTCAATATGGCTTCTAATCACTTAGGGAACATGAGAATTTTAGGTCAGCTGTTTTGTAAATAGTCTTTTTTTATATCCTTGGACTTACAAGTGGCACATATATCCATGAACTTTCTAATCAAATATTCTTACTGCTACAGGTCCTTATTGAAGAAAATTAAAAAGAAATTTATCCATTTATTATTTAAACCATAAATTTTAATTATTTAAATGTGAACTATTGGCCTCATCTTTATTTTTATTATTACAATGTTTTGAATATTGCATCCTCCAGGCTTCATCAGCATTAGTTTATGAATCTGATGACATAATAATTGTGAGTTCAATCCCTAGGCTTGGTTGGGTCATACAGGCTTAGTACTTAGTGGAAGCAGGGTGAGAAGTAACTGAGCAATACTAAATAACATGAAGACAATATATCCCTAGACATGGCCAGGAGAATGAGAACAATCTACCCCCATAGATTAAATAAAGGGTTCAGTTTTAAATTCTCTGAATGTTCCCCAGATCAACATGCACTGGATGAAGGTTGGAAATTACAAGAGCTGAAACATTGTGATAACAACAACAAAGATGAAGACAATAGTCTGCCTGTAAGTAATAAAAGTAATAATAATTCAGACAGAAGTTAAAATTTCTATTCCAATGGTGCATTTGTTATCAAATATTTTTCACTGTAAATAAAATCTGATTCTAGCAAATTATCTTCATTAAGTTCTTAACTTAAATACAAAAAGACAAAGTTCTTTTTACATTTTCACTTACCTTTACCTCTATTGATAACAAAATACCATGACTGGGCCCAATATTCAGTTGAATCTGTCTTCAAATTCAAGGAAATATTTCACTAAACCAGCACCAAAACAATATGTATTCAGTGAGATGGAAAAAAAACTTGCTTTCCGATGGCTGCAGTGACTAATACAGTTAACTATGAAGCCAGGGCAAATCAAATTATATTTGTAAATTTAATTTGCAAGTTTCAAACCAAACATTTTTTAAGAGATGAACAGTGTAATCCTGCCTGTAGCAGATAACTCCTTATGCTAAATGTGTAAAAGAATTTAAGTAGCAATTGGTTGAGCAAATATACTCCTACATATCAGTGTGGTAACTTGGAACAAATATAAAAGTTTTAAGTAATTTATGTCCAGTCTGCAAAATAAAATATTTTATCAGTTGAACAAATTGTAAAACCATTTTAATAACTGGGTCAATGTACAGCATTATATTAAATTTAAAATTATTTTTCTATATATTGATGTATCAAAACAGATTTGTATACATTATTTGAAAACGGTTAGAGTATGAGGTGTGTGCACAAGTTCTCAATAAACTCTTTTCCAAAAAAGAGACTGAATACACAATGGAAAGGTAATTTTAATTTAAAAATTGCTGAAAATTTTTGCTCTCAACACAATATCTTTCACTTACTTAAATTCTTTCTCCTCCTTTTTAGTGCCATTAAGCTCCTCTGGAAAATAGAGCCACAGCCTCATTGCACTAGATGTTGCTATTCCCATTCTCAATCTGGTTTGAATTAAACCTTAGGACAAGACTGGTTGCTGACCAAAGCTAAAGAGCACAGTCTAACCTACTATTTAACTAATAGCTGGAGGGAAAAGAGATAGATTCATTCCTTTTCCAAGAGTATTTATGTGAATGGAGTGAACATGGTCAGAATTTGAATTCAGTACACTAATTCCACTAGCCACACCAATAACCACTATGCTATCTGCACATCCACAGTTGAATTCAGTTGGTTGAAAACAACACTCATTATAATACTATGTCAACATTATGAACATGAATATATACATATGTATCATGTCATATAATATAGGCAAAATTTAATCTTTCTTTTCCTTTTAATATTTTGTGACACTGATTGGCCACATTAAAATGCAGACTAAAATCTCATGAATAATAAAAATCAAGTACAATTCATCATCTTTTATATTTGAAGTGTAACTTTCAAAGACTTGGAATATAAATCTTCCTGCAATTTTTTTTTTTATTCTGTATTACAATTTTCTGTAATTCCATATTTGGGTAATTTGGGTAATACATAAATCAAATATATAAAGTTTAATTAACATGAGCATTATATATAAAATATATTTATTTTTTACTCTTCTACATGCTCACTGATTTTTATAGATATTACTAGACTTGATATTTCTTTTATCACAGATTTGTAGTATAACTATTTGTGGTTTATGCTTGAGACATTTGGGGTCTAATCTAGTTTTAGAAATGAAGAATAAATAAGCTGATAAATATCATTAAAATGTCATGACATGACCTTTGTTATGAATTTGACTTTCTTCTCTAATATATTTTGCAGTGAATATCATTATAAAATATTTTAGTTAAATTTGAAGTAATATCCAATTAACTTGCTTAGACTATTGTAAAACTTCAATAAAAATGTATCAAGTTATAGTGAAAATGCAGTATTTTCTATTTTACACTTTTATCTCAAAAGCACTAATGCATTTAATTTCTTTACTATCTACAGATAATAAATATTGTTATTTTATAGTTTCAATTTTTTAAAATTTAATAATTTTAATGAAAATTACCTGGGAAGTATCTATCTATATTTCTGAGATGAGGCATTATGTACACTATTTACATTATTTGGACTATTGTCCTCATCTTTGCCGCCATATTTATTATGGTGACAAAGATGAGAACAATAGTCCGAATAATGTCAATAGTGTATCTGGGAAGTGTTTTAACAGAAGATGGAAAGTGCTACACTGAAAGCCAGAAGTGCATTGGGATAGTGAAAAATGCTTTCCAAAAGCTAAGTGAACAAAAAATTGTTAGAAACAAAGAAAAGAGTACTGAACTGTTATATAATATCAGTCCTTCTATATGGCAATGAATGCTGAACAATTTCATCCCAGATGAAAAAGAGACTTGAAGCAACAGAAATGTGGTTCAAATCTCTTCTTCATCTGAAATATGGAAGGATTCAGAGAATATCATGGACTGAACATGTTAACAGCAACAAAGTTTTAGAGAAAATGGAAGCAAAAACATCTGGAAGAGAAAGTTGAAATTTCTAGGATACATAATAAGGAAAGAGGGCTTGGAAAATTTGCTACTCACAGGACAGAGGAAATCAGCACATAATCTATCTAGTGAGCTTGAGTAAATGGATAGCAGAGTAAAGTTTAGAAGGTAACAAAATTTATTAAGCATTACAAAGAACAGGAAATTGTGGAAAGCCATGATCATTAATGTTCTGAAGGGACATGGTACATAGAACAAGAAAAAGAAGAAAATAGTTGAAAAAATATTAAATTGAGTTGGTTTTCAGCATGAACACAAAAATATGATATTCTTATATAGAAATAGTCTTGAATTAAGAATTTCTTAAATTAATAAATTTTACTATTCTGCCAAGCTACAATGCAAAGATTAATGTAAGGATTCACAAATCACACTTCAATTTCTTAAGTGCACTGAAAATTATATCACTAGCCAAAATATAAGAAAAAAGAATGTTTCATGGCATAATTTTTATAGATTATTAGAAGACATAAAATTAAATGCTTTTTTCTTTTTGTTTTCATAAAACTGAAATGAAGAATGATTTTCTTGTTTTATGTTCATAAAATGTCTTTGATGTTATCTAAAAAGTTATATTGTCAAATGATAACCTGAGATATTTTTACCAAAATATAAATGATCATTGTTTTGATATATTTGATTCTTGTCATAAACTTGGCATCAAAGGGAATTTTTTCTGTCAACTTGTTGAAATGAAAGGAATAGAAAAGTTTAATAAAAAGAAACAATAAATGTACATTAGTTAACAATTTTTAAAGGAGATTGAAT